GCGAGTTTCTTCATGGGCTTTGGCTCTCTGAGTAGATTAGCTTCTTCTAACTTATCCAGAATAGCTAAAACTGATACATTGAGCAAAGTAAATGGATCTCAATCGCAACGAGGAACTTAGGCATAGGATTTCTTGGGCTCAAACTACTATTTCTTTCCCTTTCTCTGATCATCATTTGCCCATTTACGATCAGATCTTCAACTACTTTCTCTTCGGTTTTCTTCCTTCCGACTGGGAGCGTTGGTTGAAGGCCCAAGGTCATGGCAATTTAAAGCTGCCACTGAATTCTCTATTCTCAGATATTTTTCTATGAGGTTGTAGAAGCAAGTGGGGGAAATATCATTTTCAGATTGCAGTTTCTGTCACAGGTCCATTTGCGAGCAAACTCTAGCAATAATTAGAGTTCGAACTGAATCTTCGGGTGTATTAGCCACCTTATTCAGTTCCTTGTAAAACCCGTCAATATAAGACTAGAGAGATTCATTCTTATCCTGTCATATGTTGCTAAGATAGCTTAACGGCATTGAGAATTTCCTATTGGCCTGAAAATGTCTCAAAAATAACAAACTCATCTACTGTCACGAGTTGATAGACCCTGGTGGAAGCGATCTGAACCAACATTTTGTGTGGGCAGTCAGAATCACTGCTAAGCAGTGATATTTTGCCAAGTTGGAAACTTGGTAAAGCTCCATGAGGTCATTAAACTCATAGAGATGATCATACAGATCAGAATTCCCGTCGAATGCTCTCATGTCAGGCATTCTAAATCTTGATGGGAAAGGAACAGTCAAAACTGTTGGAGAAAAAGGAGACGTCTCAGCAACCTGCCCCTGCTCGTTCTATTGAGCTCTAAGTTGATCTAGAGCTCATTGTAACTCCTTTATTTGAGGAAGCGGAGCCATTTGGAGATCACTTTCCGCAATGTAGGTATACTCCCTACGATTGTGATCAAGGAAGGACGGTAGATTGAACCTTCCCTGCCTTGGCCAAAGCCTTCGGCATGCCTTGACACATGCTGTCTGGAGCTTGTAAAGGCATTGAATGGCTTGGGGAGTTCTCCCTACCTCCGCAGTGGTCAGAACTGACCAGCAGATGGTGGGTACTTTCCTCGCAATGATGGTCAAGACAATCATTTGAGCGATGGTGCGAATCTCCTTGCCAAGCACTCTTATAGGGGTGCCCTTGCGATGTGGCATGAGATGGCTCACGATGTCGCAAAGCTACAAGTATTCTCCATGTCTCGCAACCAGTATTTACTGGCCCTTTAGAGCCTTTCGACCTATGAGTTTTTGCTCGTTTCCACACTTTAGCACGACCTACAGACATTTTTGGAGGTGGCATCGCCTTATTAGAGTTGGGCAGCACAACCTAATCCAAACAATCTACTCTTTGGCTCATCATTTGGAGGATGTTGTTAAACCTTTCCAAATAATCCATGACAGTCGGATCTAGCTGAGAAGTCGAGGGGTTACCCACCGGTGTACTTTGAAGAGGTGGAGTTACTTCAGGAGGAGTAATCTCCTGAATGCAAGGGGTCTCCTCGTTGTTGGTGCTAGTGCACTTGGTTTCAAGACCTCGGGCCATGAGTTTGTAGGTAAAATTGATTGATCAGTTAAAAATATCGGATGAAGAACTAATGTGAAAATTGCCTTCCTTTTAATGCCAAACTATTGATGTATGATTTAGACATCAACGACCTCGCACATGCAAAGTTCTAAGAAAGTCTTAGAAATTACACTTGATTAATATGAGATTTGGATTTAGGTCACACTAGCATGCAAAGACTTAATAATGAGACAGTAAGAATTTTATAATAGTTTGGATGCTTAAAGCGATTCCTACATCCACTATTTTCTTTTATATAAGTGTCCTTGGTTTTTAGCCAAGTTACAAAGGGTTCGCAAACAGCGAGCTGAATTACAGGAGCTTGGTACTTAGAGAGAATATTAAACTAGTCTCTTTCCTATGGGTTGTCTTTGCTATTTTTTTTATGAAAATCAGAGATCCCGATTTTGTGAGGGGGAGTCCTCTATTTATAGCCACTGAGTCCAAGGTAATGATTACAAGTCTACAAGTGGGTAGGTGCCGTGCAAGTTCTTCTTTGCATCCCATTGGCTAATAACTTAGGAGATATCCTTAAATTATATGGGGATTGGACAGGTGTGCGGACTTCATTCATTTACATACAAAACTTGAACCTGCTAGGTTGGTGATAGCCATATTCTCTCTGTCTTGGGGCGACACGGCAGATCCTAGATGGCACAAAGCCTTTATGAACTCTGATTGGTGCTCATTGATGTAGGTTTATGTCAGCTTTGATTTTTTGGGCATAACACTTCTCCTTGTAATTTCTGACATACTCCACCCGAATTCAGGTAAAAGGAAAATCCCCTCATGCTTATGTCTCCCAAAATTTTGTCTTTCTTTTATATTATTTACTTAATAATTACTTATTAATGTTTTCACGATCTCTTTATGACACATCATTTTCAAGGTCCTTTATTTACTTTGTTTTATACCTAAAAAAATTTTTAAAGATATAATTACGGTGTTTTTTTTATTTAAAAATAATTAATGGATCTAGTCTGTAGTATAGTCTTCAGACATTTGAAGATTTTGATTTTAATAAGTATCAAATTACCTGGCAATTGTAATTGCAATCATCTATAAATTTTGAAACGATAGTTTAATTAATTCCTATCCTTTTTTCGATACTTTATCATACTTATTTTGTTTTCTCATAACTATATTATAGTTGTTTTAGTCTATAGGCTCGAGAAACAAAGAGAAGATGTGTACGGACGAGACATCCTGTAACAAGAAGAAGGAAAAGGATTAAATAGAGGAAATCCCAAACATTTTTCTATCTCAGATATGTCCATGTGTTTTATATTAACCTAATTTATTCACTTATTGATGTTTATTCATTTTAAATAGATTTGGAAAACAATTAGAAAAAGGTTGTTATTATATATCCCTATAAGATTGATCAATTTTAGCACACCCACGAAATATATATATCCCATTTGTTATAATTGTTTTCTTTGGTACTTTTGCAAGATTCTTAGTAATCTAAGGATTGTAGCATTTTTTGTAAGAAAGAATGTCATTGTCATCCATTGGTTTTCAATCTGTTAGTCAAAGACATTCTTTTTAAATACTAACATTTTGGTCCTTTAACTTATCCTTATTTTATTGAGCAAACAATATGTTCCGACCCGAGGTTTAGCGGAATTGTAACTTCCCACTCCTGGTTTCATAATTTTCAAATTCTCACCTTTAAATTAACACCGTTAGTGATTTTTAGGTTCTAACATAGTATAGAGTGTTATTACCAAATTACCCTTGACAAATAAATTAATAAATTACCTTTTTACCCACAAATTAGTAGAATTAGAAATAACCACTTTACTTTCAAATTTATTTCAATAACATCATCTTCTCCAACCTTCCTCTTCTTCGTGGCCACCTGTGACCTCCTACACTACGCGATTGCCATTTTCAGGCCAAATTGGCCTAATTCCAACGTTGTTGGAACTCCCCAACACCACCAAACACATCCTTTCACCTCCCTCATCAAAACCCCTTATCATCTCCACCCCTCTAAACCACCAAATCGCTAGAGCCACTCACTATGAAATCGTGCACTTCTTGCCGATTTTTGGTTGATTCCGGCGACAAAAACCTACCTCGACACAACCTTTTGATCTATTGGCGTCTCCTCTCTAAAAACCCCACAACCCGAAGCTATGATTGCCCGCCAGTAGCCGCCCACCACTCCCCCAAGGACTTCTGCGACAGTTTGAAATTATGTTTTAAATTGGAGTTTGTTTTGAAGCTTGGTTGAAGGGAAATTGATTGTTTATGGAAGTGTTTCTTGTCGTTGATCGATTGTATTTTTTTTCTAGCCATTTTCCCGTCACCAACCACCAAAACCACTTGCCGTTAGACTACACCCACCATCTGCTCAACCCTTTGCCCCAACCAACACCCAAGCACATATCCCCCATGTGTGCTGCTCCTGCGTGCACGGCCTACTACGCGTGCACGACACCATGCGCACAAGCCTGTGCAGCAACTGCCAGAACTTGGCCTCTACGAGGGCCAAGAAGTCGCCATTTGGCCACTACTTTTGGCCACGCAAAGGCCAATTCTGACTACTGTGACAAAAATCTTAGAAAAATGGTGCTTGTGAGAGAAATTTTAGATGTGGAGGGTTATTTTGAAACTTTTATTTTCATTTTAGATTTAATATAATACAAATGACCACTTTATCCTTTGATCATTACTTTAAATGGTTTTCTATTAATTTAAAGGTGAGAATTTAAAATTTATGAAACCAAAGATGTCCTTTGCTTTATTTTATTTCACCGCTCGTCAACTTGGAATTCACCTGTAAATTCTACTCGAATGTCGAATCATAAAAATACCCTTCCAAAAAAATAATGAAAAATGCATTGCTCAAAAAATACTAGTTTGTAATGTGCTTATCTAATAACTTTAAGGGAAAGGGTAATTATACATTAGCATTGTTTTTATAATGTAATTTTTTTTTTTTTTTTTGTTAAAGTACTTTTTTGGTCATTTTAATATAATTTTCAAATCACGGTCAACTAAGAGTCCAATAAGTCAAACAACTAAATGATTGTATTCGAAATGAATAACTTGACCAAAGCTACAAGAATAATTCTCCTTTTTCAAAATATTGTGTGAATAAGATAAAATCTTCACTCGCCACTCGGTCATTATGATAGCCAATTGGAAAATACTCAAACTGCGAATGAACCGGCCTTGATCCAACATATATCAAGCTTTCCAGAATCACACAAAAATTGGTTGGACCGTGAAACGGACTGGACACATAACCAGTTATGGGCCGTCTCCAAACGGGCCACACCAACACGTGTTTCTGATTTCTATTACAGCCGCAGTCCGCTCCCACATTTATTACCGTGCCATATTGCCTGTCCAATCATATCTGAATTCTGAAACATTCAAAATGCTAGAAATAGCTACTACAAGAACCAAATTTCATCACGGAGAGTGAAATACATTAAACGCCAACAAACTGAGGCTAAGCTAAAGATTTCTGGAACTGTTATTGCCCCAGTTATTTAAGAGCCGCAATTATTTATAAAGTTTTGCAGCCTCATTCTACTGGTGGCTGAATACAAGTATTCTTACATACAATATGTGATATGATTCAACAACTGAATGGAAAATGAATGATCTCTATTAAATTTGGTGGCGCGAATTCTGGAACATGACTATTGCAAGAGTCACTAATGATGCATATATTGCATTGGGCAACCTTTGCACCACCTTTCCAACGCCTGGCACCCCCTCGGTAGCCCTCTTTGTTGCCATTGCAACAGTTGGTGCTACCGCCAAAGTAATGATCAGTCCTTGACTAACAACAATGAACGTGTCTGATGTTAGCTGGCAAATAAAGTTCACAAATTCTTCATGATCGAGTTCGCCATCAAAATTTATGTCACAATCCTGAATACAGCACAAGAAACATATTTAGCTTTTCATTTACAAATTATGTCAAAACAGATATACAGACTCTCAAGGCTCTCAAGTGCCAAGCTCTAGAAGTTCTGTATAGGAAATGGTATGACAGACCTTCAATAGACCCTGTAAGAGGTTGGCTAAAGATACATCTTAATAGGCAATTCTGCAGAAATAAATTTATAAGAATAAAGCAAAATAAATCCCAGTTATTGGACAATCAGTTAAATTAAGCAATAGAGTTTTACAACAAAATCATAATGTTCTACCATGTTCTAACTCGTATCATTTAAGTTATGAAATCTATGAAACTTTTGCAGGAGCTGGGGCTAGGGCTACACAATAATACTGAAGTCCTGCAGAGCAAAAGGCAGATCTAAAAAAGTACTAGCTAAGTATGGACAACTGACTGCATAAACCCACGAGCATAAAATCAATTCCCAGCATGATCTCATTGGCCAGATTACATAATACCAAAAATAAATAAATAAATGACAAAAAAATGGTTGTTTTATAAATAATAATAAAAAAAAAAAAAAGACAAAAGTAATTGGTTAAATATGTTTCATTTAAGTAAAATTTCTTAAACTACCATAACAAATGGCTTTGACCAACTCTTTCTTGATACCAATATGGTACATTATTCATTTCCAAACTAAGAGTTCTAAAACAAGGACACAGAAGACATCTTTTGCTACCTTTTTCAGTATAAACACTAATAAAAACATCATTAAAAAAAATCCCTAATTACTCAAACCTTCTATTTGTGGAGCTTTAATCATGTTTCTTTCGTGTACGCACCTTCACAAACACTAATTTCTATGATCCATAAAAAAAATGTTGAAAGAAAAAATACGTGTTATTTCACTCTGCATAGCGGACAAATATTTTAATCAACTTCTAAAGATTCTTCCTCTGAAGAAGGTACCAAAAGGGAGAATTCATCAGCATCAATCAAAGTTTCGAAATGAGAAAATACTAATCCTGTACGAGCAACTTGTATATTATATGCTTGAATCAAACAAAATCAAGCTCTGAGTCAACATTATGTTGCAAGCAAACATTTCATTTACTAATGTCAGAACAAAGCTGAATACCTGCATCATAGCTCTGACTTGCTCTTTTGAGGGCGGATCAAAATGAGGGCCTGGTAATCGCTTATTAATGTCACTACAACATTATATATTAATTTTTTATCAGTGAGACTAACCTGCCAATTAATATAATAAAAAAGAAAATATATAAACCAATTGCTGGAAACTAATAAGAAAATGAAGCTTCTTACTTGTACACAAGCAAGACAGCAATATATAAATCTTCAAATGTCAAATTAGGCCTTCCAGGTTGATTTTTTATGCGATCATACACTTTATCTGCTATCAATCTTATTTGTTTCTCCCTCCATTGCTTACCTGCACATTTTTTAAATTATCAAAACAATCCATAGGATTAAAAGAAGTCCAATTAAAAATAATTATCTATTTATTTCAAAATATATATAAGTTAATCTATCTCCCTCACGCTTTTACGCCGATTTCTTTAGTGTTGTTTTAAATTGATTATTGACATGAAAAATTAAGTGTTTTCTGGGAAAAAAAAAAACTAAAAAAATTAAAATTTCATTTCCATGGGAATCAAACTGACAAAACAGTGTCTTTTATTTATTAGTTCTTTCACTTTTCTGCATATTCTAAGTTCAAAACGCAAGAAAAATCGTACCATTGAGATTGAAGAAACATACAACATATCAAACCATTTACCTAATCATTAGATTATAATATATAAAAATAAAAATAAAAACTTAATAAATATTATAATTGGAAGAATAATAAGAAAATGATACCGTGAAATTTGTCTAAGACCTGTCCCATCGTGAATGGGAATAAACGGGCTGTTGAGGCGAAAAGTGGAGACGGCGAGTCTGGGATCTAATGGTTTGAATTCATCTCTTATCGTAATGTCTAGGGTAATTTAATGTTTAAGCTTTATTAAAGACCCTTAAAGTTTTGAAAATACTATTCCACCTCCCGTGAGATTTTTCTATAAACATTAAACAATGATGGCAAAATAAAAAGGGTAAATATGTAATTATATATATATATATATATTGGTGATTATTGTTACTTATATTTTTAAAAACACTCTTGTTATTATTTTTTTCATTTTTCTCTCTTTTTTCTCCTCTATATGTTTTCCTTCTTCTTGTTTTTATTTTGATTATCTTACTCGAAGTAGCCTGATATTAAAGTTGGACTTTGAAATTCAATTGTTTGGAATGTTGGTAGCAGCCATAGTATCTAGCATAATGTGATTTTTGGGGCATAAAATTTGAGCTTAGTGATCCAAAACACAAAAATTTTTTTTTTTTTTTTTTTTTATGACCGATAGTGTCTGAGCCAACTTATATGTACTTCAACTAACTCTTCAGGACTTTGGAATTATCAGCCAGATAAGAGTTTCAATGGCTATCCCTATTAGTAATCGATAAGAAACTTGAACTCAAGACCTTTCAAATAATACACCCAAGAGTCTCTATCAAACCACTTAGCTATTCAGAGATAGTTAAATCCAAAAAATAATTGTGAGTCAATTTATAAGGCAAGTGCTCAAGGTTGAAGGACTTGAAGAGAAAAATAAAGTAATTGCACACGATAAGGAACATTTAAATAGCAATTTTCTTTTTTTTCTTTTTTTTTTTTCCATGTTGAGACTCTTAACAATTCGTGATTGAAATAATTCTAGGTATAAAGTTGTAACGCAGTTAAAAAAATTTAGTTTTAAGGGAAATGTTGATATTTTACATTTTTTATTATTGATTCTCGTTTGTTAATTAACCTCAAGGGAGGTGATAGTGTTTTTGGGGTCCTGATAAAATAAACTTAAACCTCAAGGGAGATCGGGTCATTATCCTAATCTAGAAGGCGGAACTAAGGAAGAGGAGCGTGGATATTTATGAAGAGAATTTTCAAATGGACTAATGCCAACGGAGATTTTTAATATAAAAGGCCATATGAGTCTATGACTAGTCAAATGTAGCCAATAGAGTAGAGCCACTTTGCCCGATATTTAATGGAGCACAATTTTGTGCTTCAAGTGTGGGTAAAGTGGTTTCTTTTTACACCCAAATCTTAAAACATAAGCATTTATGTTCTCTCACTTATTTTGCTATATAATACCTAAAATCTTAAAAGCTAAAAAGTTCAATTAAAACCCAAATAAGAGTGGTTCCAATCTTTACTCCAAAAATACACTTACATGAGTAGTGTTTTCTACCCACATTTTTTTAATCAAAAAACCTCAATTTCCATTCAATTCTCTATTTAATTGTAAAAGCTGGATGTAGAACTCAAATTTCCCAAGGACAAAAACATAATTTTCCTATTCAATATAACTTGCATACTCGGGCTATGATTTGAGCCGAGCCGTTCGCAAGCGGTTCGGGTGAAGCTCAATTCACAAATTGAGCCAATCTCGAGCCAATTATGACTCGGCTCAAGAGGCTCACAAGCCTATAGGAGCTCGAAAGGATATATATGTAAGTTTTTGCAATTATGACGGGCTTTATGAAATTTTCTTTTTGCATATAAAATTTAAAAAATTGTAGAAACCTAACTTCTTCTTCTTCCTCTGTCGATTCATTTCTCCTTCTCTTTAATCTTCTTCACTTTCTTCTTTCTTCTCCTTCTCTTTTTTTCTCCTCTTTGAAAAAATGCTACAAAGCTGATTGATGGCACCTTAGATCTACCGATTTTATTTCCTTATTCTTCACTTTTTTTTTTTCCTAAATTAGTTTTGGTGTTGATTGATGGTGTTAGGGGGTTGTGGCGGTTTGATTCTTTAGTTGTGAGCTACTATGGTGTTTTTCTTGATAGATTGTTGTGTATTTGTTGATTTTTATGGTTTGGGAAGGTGGGGTAGTGGTGGTTGACAGTTTGAAGAGGTTGGTTAAGGGTAATTCAAGAATGTTTGGGAGCTACCCACCAGCTGTTTTGGAAAATGCCTCACCCACTGCCCAATTTTCTTTTATGTTTGGTTTCTTTTAGGGCTAAAATCAAGCTCGAGCTCAACTTGATTCATTGTGCATACAGTGAATCGAGTCGAGCTCCAGCTACTTGCGAACTCCAAATTCTCCATTGAGCTCGAGCTCATCCTGTACATGCCAAGTCGAGTTCGATTAGCCCAAAGCTCGACTCGACTTGATAACAGCCCTTTTGCATACTAAGCAATTTATTTTTAGGGATTTTCTCCAACATAGGAAGTAGAATCAACATCGGATGAGGAATCCAAGGGAATAAGGAAATCAAGTGAAAATAGAAAGTGTTATGCCAAAAATACACACTAATGTCATACCAATCAGAGCTAAACAAGCACTTAAAAGTAAAGTGGTATTAGCTGTTGAAAGTCAAACTGCCTCAAAGAGATATTATATAAGACATGTCCCACCTTTATCAAAATAAAGGATCAAAATGAATAAGAGCTCTCCATGTGTCAAGGCAACTTGCAAAAACACTAATTACGTTGAGCTTAAAGGTGTACAAATTAGTAACTCTATTCATGAAATGAGGAGGCTGGGCAAATGAGAGCTAGGCATACGTTTGAGCTTCATTATTTTTCTTTGTAAAAAAGCATTACTTCATTTTTGTACGCCTTACAGGCGATATCAGAAAAATAATCTAAGAATAATAAAATAATAATGGATGTAGGATTCGCTTTAAGCATCCGAACCACTATAAAAATATCTTTTGACATCTTTTATTTATGTTCCTACAAACATATGTCACCACAACTCTCATAATCATTTCACATATAATTTCTAAGACTCTCTTAGTACTTTGCACGTACAACGTCGTTGGTGTCAAAATCATGCATCAATAGTTTCGTGCTAGAGGAAGGGCTTGATTCACATCAACTATCCATGTTTTTTCAACAAGTCTCAACTTCTTTAGCAAATTTCAGCTTTTTTTCGCAGAATCATGTTATCAGATGTGAAAATCCGAGCAGGATAAAGTCTAAATTTGGAGAAGCTGCAAACACAAGAATTGTAGCCCTTCGAGTCAGCTTTTTGATGATTTAAGAATCATCCAAATTCAAGATCTACAGCTCAAGTTATCATCAAAATATTGAAGCTTGTTCCATCTCAGGGCTCTCAGATTGCGTGACTAGATCACTCAGATCTAACGCATCAAAGCTCTCAAATCACATGGCCAGATCACTCAGATCACATTCATTAGAGCTCTCAAATCGCATGGCCAAATTGCTCAGATAGCACGCATCAAAGCTCTTAGATCATGTGGCCAGATCGCTCAGATGGCACACATCAGATCAGATCTCTTAGATCGTGTGGCAAGATCACCCAGATCGCGCGCATCAGATCTCTCAGATCACATGGCCAGATTGCTCAGATCACACGTATCAGATCTTTTAGATCACGCGGCCAGATCGCCCAGATCGCACACTCAGATCTCTCATATTAGAAAGATCTCTCTCTAGCTCCCAAGCTATCGAGCTCCTAAGCTCTCAAGCTCCCAAGCTATCTAACTCCCAAGCTCTTAAGCTTCCAAGCTATCGAGCTCCTAAGCTCTCTATCTCCCAAAGCGCTCAGATCACACGTTCAAGGTCATTGAGATCATGCATTCAAGATCATTGAGATCATGCGTTCAAGATCGGTGAGATCACGCGGTCAAGATCATTGAGATCACACATTCAAGATCATTGAGAGCACGCGTTCAAATCATTCAGATCGCACTTTCAAACACTCAGATCGCACTTTCAAGTGCTCAGATCGCACTTTCAAGCGCTCCAAATCGCTAACCTTGTGTTCTCAGATCAAGCTCTACTCTTTTTGATCGAACTCTTTGTGTTCTCAAATCAAGCTCCGCGCTTTTTGATTGAACTCCTTGTGCTCTCAGATTAAGCTCCGTGCTTTCTGATCGAACTCCTTGTGTTCTCAAATCAAGCTCCACACTTTCTAATTAAACTTCTTGTGTTCTCAAATCAAGCTCTACGCTTTCTGATCGAACTTCTTGTGTTCTCAGATCAAGCTCTACGCTTTCTGATCGAACTCTTTGTGTTTTCAAATCAAGCTCTACACTTTCTGATCGAACTCCGTGAGCTTCTTATGCTCACTTATCGAGCTCCTTATGCTCACTTATCGAGCTCCTTATGCTCTCTAATCAAGCTCATAAACTCGCTCATTTGCTTGAGATCACGTTTATTAGATCATTTAGATCGTGCGCTTCAAATCGCTAAGATCGCATGCACATATCGAGCTTCTTAAGCTCTCAGATCGCAAGCTCCAGGTCAAGCTCCTTACCTTCAGATCGCGCGCTTCGTTTTGTTCATATCGCATGCCTCAAACTCTTAGATCGAGCCCTTATCAGATCGCGATCAGCTCCTAACTCTCAGATCATGATCAACTCTCACCTCTGAGATTGCAAACAACCTCAAATTGTGTTCTCAGCTCTCAGATCGCGATCAATTTTCAGTTCGCAGATCGTGATCCACCTGTCAGTGTAAGAAAAAGAGTCAGAGAATTATAAAATAACAGTAGACGTATAATTCGCTTTAAGCATCCGAATCACTATAAAAATCTCTCTTGTCAATCTTTTATTTATGTTTCTTCAAGCATATGTCACCACAACTCTCATAATCATTTCACGTGTAATTTCTAAGACTCTCTAGCACTTTGCACGTATGACGTCATTGGTGTCAAAATCATGCATCAACAGAAAGTGAATATGACTAGGATCCAATCCCAAACAGGAGAGAGATCGCGTAATTCTCTTAAAAACAAACATTTATTTTCTACCCGAACTCCTACCCCACCAAGGAAAGTAACCTCTTAAAATTCTCTCTACTTTACTATGTAAAAAAGACTAATGGCATAGAATGATACACAATAATTCATACAGAAAAGCTTCATACTAAGCACTCCAATTGAAAGTTGACTGCAACGAATATTAGCATCTTACTTCTGTTTTAACATTGCAATCCTGCAAGAACTTTGCTATTTCTTGTACAAAGCAGTGGTCTACTTGACGAAGGCTTCAGAGACACCAAGTCAAGGATAAAGTGATAAAGCTACACATCATGACAGGGATCCCTTTTTGCAAGTCGACTTATACCAAGAAGAGCATGAGTCCCTTCGTAATTTTATTAACCAGTTTCACTCTAAAGTGATGAAATTTGGAGCTGCAAAACATACCTACACTCGAAATGCATTTTACAGAGCAGTAAGACAAGACAAACTTTATGAATCCTTCAGAGAACATAAATCTATAAACTATATATGAAAGCGAGATGAAGAGCTCTACTTGTTGCGGATGTCGAGGAACATATGTCCAAAAGACATAGGCCAAAGAGCGGGAAGGACTCAAGAAAGAGAAAAGAGGATAACTATGGGAACAAGAAACAAAAGCAGGCAACCTAACATTACCCAATAGCCCAAAGCTTTGACATTATTGCCACCCCAAGCGTATAAAGGAACAGAAATGTTATACATACTACTAGTTTTTACTAACAGTTAGATACCTTGGTAGGAATCCTTTAGCAAAAACCCATCTAATCCTATCAAAGATCTAATCTAATGAAACCTTCTTTAATTGCAGGGAAATTGAAAAAATATCTTACAAACCTAGGTGCCTCATCATTTTTAGGTTTAACAGTGGCAATCTTAGTCATGGATTCAAAGGCTAGTGAGTTTTATCACATCACAGTACCTATACAGTAAATTGTATGCCTCTTCATGGTTTCCACCTATGTTCTTTAGTGCCTGCCCTATACCATGTGTGTTTACTAATCTTCACCCCCCAATTATCGAATGTTTCATCTCTGATTTCATTCACATTAGGTTTGGGGTTTGACTTGACTTTCCTCTGCAAATTCCCTAGCTACCCACTTAGTCTTGGCCTCTGAATTAACCCTAACTATTTGATAGTTTTATTCAAGGTTGAATGTCATCCTCACTAGACCTTGAAGCATGTATCCTCCAAAGGTAGCCAGGTGTAGCACACTCAGTAGTGAACTTCTCATTCTTATTCTTCCTTTTTACCTAATGCAAACCTCACTTTATCACCTCTCTAAAGTGATATATGTATCTAAATGTTTGGCTTATTTCTAAATGAGGTGGTTCTTTTTTATCTGATTGCTCCACAAATTCTCTTTTTACAACTTCCCTAGATTGTTCTACAACTTCACTCTCATCCCCACTTGGCCACTACCTACATAATCATCATCATCGTCAGAATGGTAATCTCTCAAATTACAATCCTCATCTCCTAAAGGCTCACTATCACTACCTTTTCCTTGAACTACTTCTACCTCACTATCATCCCCAAACCCGCTCTCATTTGTCTTCTTCACTGTCATCCCCACTCTAATTAGCTGATGCGTTGCTACTACAACATACAATATAGCAAGTACACTAGTCGCAAAAAGTAATAAACTGATGAGTGAGGATCGTTCCCACGAGGATAGTGTTACTAAGTACCGATTTCTCTAGTTTAAGTCCTAATTGAAGCAACAATAAATTGGATTGATGGAAAATTAACAAACTAAATACAAATTAACAAAATACAAATGAATGATAATGAAATTAAAGCAAAACCACTTAACAAAAAAAAAATTAAAGCAAAACCCAACAACTTAACTAATTGAACATTGCTAGAAAATGATAAGGTGTTGATTTCACCTAGATACGCTAACCCAAATCATAGAATCTATTACCCAAGTTCTAATTCCTTGATTGAAAATCGAATTCCTTAAGTTGTAAAACATACCTTCTCAGGCTACATTTCCCTACTTATCCTTATTAAGCTTCCGCACCCAACAAAATGAAGATTAATAGTTCAAAGTCTTTTAAGCTTTATGGAATTCTATCTAGATTTCATAGATCGCTAAACCTATCTCTAGCGTTTGCTTAATCTACGGTATTTATCCCAAGAGGCACAATCACAAATCACTTCTCAGTCTCATTGTGAACAACACACATTTGAATGGTGATCAAGCATCCAAAAGTCATTAAGCAAAGAGATAAACACTCAATCATGAAATTAAAACTCAAAGTAAATCAATTCATATAAATTTGAATCATTGTATCAAGGTTACATCAAACCCTAGCTAAACAACTCAGTTCATACTCAAAAACGAAATAAAATAACAAAAACAAACTGAATCAAGATTCATCATTGAAAAACAAGCAAAAGATGGAGAAATCTTCTCTAATTTGAAGCTCAAATCTTCAATACTCTTCTCCTTCCAAGAGCTGCCTTCCAAATGACGAACCAAGTTCCCTTTCTCTTCCTTTTTGCTCTAATTTATACCTCTCTCACTTAAGGATGAAGCCCTAGCAAGCCAAAACGCGTCGTTTTATTTTTACATCTAATGTAGTTTTCGCTGCGGTGAAGCTTTTTCCTTGCCGCAGTGAGAAACTTTCAGGCCAAATTTGAGCATGAAAGAGTCTGAATCTGAAAAAGTTTTAAACATATGAATTGTAGCCCTTTCAATTATTTTTCTACTCGTTTAAGAATCAGAACAATACAAGGTCTACAGCTCAAGTTATGGCAGAAATACTAAAGTACATCCAAAGACATTTTTCTTCCATTTCCAGTGTACTTTTCACGATTTCAAGCCAAGTTTTCACCCTTGTCCAGTCAGAATTAGGAAAAACCCAAAACATGAAAGTTGTAGCTCTTCTTCTTAGCTTTCCAAAGCTTCTAAATTCAGGTCATTCTGAGTTTTCAAGCTCAAGTTACACAATTTATATTCAAAACTGTCATTTATGCTAAAAATCATTGTTTAAGCCTGCAAAAACAAATTAATAGAATTAGGTAGCAATTATGGCTCAAATTATATGAAAAGTATCTTAAATCTTATCAAAATTCAATGCAAAATTATAGGGTAAAATAGGATTATCATTAGCCCAACATCTATCAATTCCTCATGCTCTACATTTTAATTCACCTTCAAAGAAAGTTTTGGTTTAGTTTTGGGTGCAGTTTGGGTTATTCGTTCACTGAGATTTTTGGTTACTTTATGGGAAAGGATGGGATTATGCAAGTGGGACAATATCAATGTGCATGTTAATCCTATGAATACCCCTCTCACTTAACATCAATTGGCATGTTAATCCTATGAATACCCCTTTCACTAAACATCTTGAACATGGAGGTGAAATCAATCTCATTATCTACCCTATACTTAGTACTTGAGCAAGGCAAGTTGACAGACGCATCATATAATTCATCAGCACTTAAAGGCAACCCACTACTCAACATCCTAGCATCGTCTTTTAAACTAATCCTACTATATGTGTCAGGAGTAACATACGAAATCCAATAAGGTTCTCCAAACATGGTTATGTCAAAACTAATTTTTTCTTCTTCAAACCTTTATCAACAATACATAACACACTATATGATCACCTAAGTGCACAGTAACAATAGTATAACCCAACTTTTATTGCTTCATCAACAAGTCATAACATTTATTTTATTACTTCATCAACAAGTCATACACAAACACACTATATCACCAAACAGTACACCACAACAGAACAAAAGCAACCCTAAATATACGCTACAAAAATAAATTAAGAAAACAATTTCATCATTTTCTCCAAAGCACGAAACTACCCAGTACACTTATATTGTACAAAACAACACCACCCCCATTTCGTTCACTTCACCAAACAGCTACGAAACAAAACATGGTTATACAAAAAGCTCCGCTTCGGTTGCAACAGAAGTAAAAAAATCTTAATAAAAAATCAGTTGTCATAACAATAAACCCATTTTAAACTCCATACAATATCACTATCAAATAATATTAAAAAACTCATTTTTTGACCTAACAAAAAAGTGGTTCGTTCATATAAAAGATCATATATACAACATGCATTCACATTTGTCATACCATTAACAAACAAAAAAAAAAAACATAGAACCAGATATATGAGCAAAGTTCCCATTTTTATAACAGTTTAGAGTACCTTCGGTCTTTACATACTTCACTATCATACAAGAAAACTTTTCTAGAAAAAAGACAAGGTTTAAAGTAACGGTTACAGAAGAAACTAACCCCGTTCTTCTTCAACTTCTTGCACCAGTGTCTTCACGATTTCAAAGTCTTGAGCTTTTGGTTTTTTGTTTCGCTAATGGTTCTTCATTACTTGAATATGGTGAGTTCTCTAAGGGTTTCATTCTCTGTGTATTTGACACGATGATGGAAGGAAGAAGAAGTGAAAAGTGAAAAGTTGGGAATAAATAATCCATGTAGTATATAGCCTAGGGTGATAAGCTTGCCCATCAACGCTAGCTGAAATTTTGTTTTTCAATTTTCAAAAAATAAATCAGGTGCAAAGACTTTAATGCCCCTAAACTGTCTGATTTAACAAAGTTGTTATAACAATAGTCTGACATAAGAGGGGGAGATTTGGTTTAATCTAAACCTCAAAAACTGACAAGTATTAGTTTGTGGTATCAAATCATATGCTCTTTATTGTAGATTTTCTCGTTTATGACACATTAAGTAAATTTCTTGATACTTTTTTATTAACCAATAATTTGATTACAGATATCGTAACACACTAAGCACAATGAAACTTAATCACGCCTTGGTGCAATCGGTTGGTTTAAAAGACACAGTCTTTTTCTCAGTATCATACCCAACCAAAAAATTGGTCTGCGCTAAGTTACCGTAAATTGGAAGGCTTCGTTCATCTTTATCACCCATAAATGTGAAACAAACAACTTCCTCACTAATTCTGATGAATGTGTTCAAAGGACTTAACGTCACATCCGCACCAGTGAAATGTACTGTTATATTTGGAACATTCAAATCACTCCTCGCACTGTAACATAGATCAAGTACAGCCCTCGAGTCTTTGATAGGCTCAGCATCAATGGCTTCTGAAACAGCTGAGATCAATTTAGAGTTGAATGATTCCGGCAAAAACGTCAATGTAGTCCCTGAATCGATTATAATGTTACCCTCCAAATCTCCTTCTGAGGAATCATTAAAAACAATTCTATTATTGTTGCCAACACTGATTGCTTCAAGTGTAACAAAGTAGAAAGTTTTTGGTTCTTTAGAAATCAAAGGAGTCGAAACGACCCCAGAACCCGAAACGACGCCATTGCTACCGAAGTTAAGTTTGCTTGAAGCATTATCCTCTGATGATGAGGATGACAATGGAATCAAGCAGTGAGAAAATTTGCCACCAATTGAATCACCCAATTGAGTAACAAGGGATACCTCACCGCCGCCAAGCCCAACTATGCCAGTTGTTTTATTATCAAAAGTACCATCATTTTGGTGTCCGCAACCGATGATGGTTTTCGGCAGACTCTCAGGGCGGCTAGATGTTGAACCCAAAGTAACAGTATCGATAGCAAGATCGCCACGTGAGAAGGAATTGTCACCGTAAGAAACTGAATATAGGCAAGTTTGGTCGTCGGAGCAAGATGAACCCTCAAGGGTTTGACATTGGTTTGAGGAGCAAGAAAGTTGTTTGTAGGTAGAGGATTTTCTGGGGTCGAAAAAAGGAGCTTCTTGGTCGAAACACTGAGAGCAAGGTTTGCATTGTGTCCATATAAGATCACTACCAGTATCGGCAATGGCGAGAATCTGAAAAGGTGGGGAACCGATTGAAATATCTATAAGATACTCACCATGGTCGGAGATTATATCAGCTTGTGCTGTATTTGGATTGAATCGGTTGACATGATTAAAAGAACGACGTATGGCATTGAAGACTCGTTCATAGTGAGTTTGTTTTGGGTTGTAAATGGGAGACTTTGGGGAGTCACGATGGATTAGTTCAAGACTAAACCCTCCTCTCTTTGCTTCTGTAAAACAAACAATGGTGACTGATAATATTGAAAATGCAAAACAGAAGAAAAAGCGACTACTCCAAACGGGTTCCATCAATTAACTTGTGGTAGTGATTAAGAAGATGATGTGGGTAGGAAATCTGTATTATCTGGTTGTTTATATAGCAAAAGGGAATTTTCTGTTGATTTAGTGATCAAAATTAGAGCAATTAATGTGATTGGGATTTTGGAAGTTCACAATTGTTTGATTGTTGGATTTATTTTTTGGGATTTTCCACTATCTTAAGCAAATCATACAGCCTTAAATTACATCTTTGATATATAGTAAGAGCATCTCTAATAGCTTTTTTTATTTTAAAGAGCATCTTTCATATAAATAAAGAGTAATTTCGTTCATTTTAAAAATATAAAGAACATAATTTTTATTCAAATCCAATAGACTTTTTAAATTTAATGAAAATGCTTTTTAATAAAGAGACTTAATGGAAAAGAGAATTAATAAATAAAATGCATAGGAATTTGTAATTTATTAATTAAAATTATGATAGAGAGTGAAATTTGACTCTTTAAATGTGGAGAGTCAAACTCACTTTATAATTTATATTTTAAAGATAAAGAGTTTGTGGGACTCTTATTTTTATGGATAGACTCTTTATAATAAAGAGTTTGGGTCATATAGAGAATCTTTGGAGATGCTCTAATAAATTAGGTAATTAGAAAAAAAATATATATATACATTGAATTTGAAATTTTTTGCACTGTAACACGATAATAATTAATAAGGTAGAACTAATTTTGTTTTCTCGTTCATACTTTCAATATCAGACTTTCAAAGAAATCATTGTAACAGTGATTTTTTTAGTTTGATTCCTTAAAAAAGAAAAAAAAAAGCTACACAAAAAATGAAAAAATCAATATCAGGAGATAGATGGATGAGAAAAAAACATTGAAATAATGAATGATAAAAAGGTTAACTTAAAAATTTACATTTAAAAGTAGAAATATATTGGAAATATTAGATTTTTCATTGAATGAGAATCTTAATGCTAGAGAAACCGTATTGGAAAAAAATAAATATTTAATTCATGATATCAAATAATATTTTAGTTCAAACATTAAAGGAAAAACAATATTCATTTTTCAATGTTATTAAATTTGGACCTGATTCAAGGGGAGAGCTAACCTAAGGCAATTCCCTAATTTAAGTGGAAGCCAAAAGGCAATTGCCTTACTTCCGTTCACCTCATCTGCATACCAGAGAGTACTTTGAATGATGCATGCAATACTTTGCCATATACGCTGTCATATTTGACATTGTAATAAATGGTCAATTATTAATACTGTTAATGATATTTTCAATTACTTATTCATAGACGAAGATATCTTGATCTTACATGATATTTTAGAACTAAAATCTATGGAATTGGACTATTTTGATTAGAAGAAAGTTTAGACAATTACAGAGTATTACAGAATTACTCTCAAATTTTGTCATTAAGTATAACCTTTAACTTTACCTTTGTCATCGTTGGATTAATAAAAATGAATGATTTATAGAGAGTGCCAAATAATTAAGTCAAGAATTTAAGTTATAGTATCGTGACTCAATCAGTTAAAGGATAAATTAGTAATTTAAAAATTGAAACTTCTTTAGCTTGATGATGGAGTCAAACCCTTTCTCAAAATAGGCTCATACAATTGAGGACAAAAGAAAATTTCAAAAAAAATGAAAATACAGGCTGTGAAATATGAACAACAAATTTAAATGTAATCTGTTCATGAAACTTTTTATGATTTTGTAATTAATAATTGTTTAAGGAAATCAATGCAAGAGAAAGGGAAGTCAATATAACAAAGAAGGAAAGCCAGCCAAGACAACAACTAGCGAATGACAAAAAGGAAATAAATCTGCTCAAATCATAGCAGAAACAGAACAGATTCCAACACTAGACATAGAAGAGAATTTACCAAGATTATACCTATACAAGGTCAACCATGATTTCTTTCCATTGTTGATATGTGCTAGTTAATACACACCGCAATTCTCTCAATGCGGTGTAACGATAATTTTCTTTTTATTATCTAAAACATATAAACAATACATTCAACATTCAATAAAAGAATATAGTTTATCTTTCATGGTATCTGAACATTGCTCTTGGCTTCTCCCTTAAACACTACAGCAACCACACAATATCCTGTTGAATTCCTAGGATAAGAATGTGAAAACTTAGGAGTTATCTAGGCATTATCTATTTTTAAAATTTAAAAGTTAGGATAATCCTAACTTAGGGTTATCAAGATATCTAGATTTAGTCTATAACTAGAGATGTATGATATGTATTTCTTTAAGTGAATAAGAGTATATAAGTTTTTCCTCTATTTTCATATCCGTACCCATTCACTTCAAACATAATTGTTAATGCATGATTTTGACACCAACGACCTCACACGTGCAAAGTGCTAAGAAGGTCTTAGAAATTACACGTGATTAATGATTAATGTGCTGAGATGATATATGTTTGAAGAAACATACATAAAATATTGACAAGAGAGATTTTTATAGTGGTTCGGATGCTTAAAACGAATCATACACCTACTGTTATTTTATTATTCTCTGACTATTTTTCTAGTATTGCCTATAAAGCGTACGAAAATGGAGAAATGTTATGTTTATAGAGAAAAATAAGCTCTCATCTATCCAGCCTCCAGCCTCTTCTTTTATGAAGAGAGGTGTACATTTATACCTTTGAGGTCAATGTAATGAGTGTTTTTGTAAGTTGTCTTGACATATGGGGACCACTCCTTAATCCTTATCTTAAAATGGGATAGGATTGATATAATATCTCTTAGGTCGGTTTGGTCTTGACAGCTAAGGTTATTTTGTCCTTTAAGTGCTTGTTGAGCTCTGATTGGTGAAACTGACATCAGCTTATGTCAGCCTTTATTTTTTAGGCATAACGGAAGCTCCCTAGTTCTTGAGATTCAAGGAATTGAATCTTGAGAACTTCATGATTATGCCACGACTTGACTTGACTTCAGAGATGTTTACTCTTCGAGTTGAGAGCTAGAACTACGATCTGAGAGCTTGGAGCGATCTGAAGCTGATCATGATCCGGTATCTGACATAAAATGTCTAGTAGACGAATTCCTAGAGAGAGTTGACGTCAGAAACCCAAACACATAGTTCAGATGTCCTAAACAAACATGTCAACTTAAAACAGTCATAACTTTTGATCCGAGAGGAGTTTTGGAGCCCATAAGATATGCACGGAAAGCGCATTCCGAGCTCTATGTTGTGGCAATAGAGACAGCCAATTGGGGTCATTTTCGAGGTCAAAATCCATCGTTTCAATATGTTTTGAGGCTGTTTTGAGTTTTCTACGTATTTTTTCTGAAGCTGGCAGCTGGTCACGATCTAAGAACTGAGAACTGATAATGATCTAAGAGCTGAGAACACGATCTGAGGTTGTTCGCTATCTTAGAGCTGAGAGTTGATCACGATTTGAGAGCTAGGAGCTTATCGTGATCTGATAAGGGCTCGACCTGAGAGCTTGAGGCACATGATTTAAGCGATCTCAAGCGCGCGATCTCAAGCGAACGAGCAAGCTTATAAGCTCAATCAAAGAGCATAAGGAGCTCGATCTGAGATCATAAAGAGTTCAACAGAAAGTACGAAGCTTGATTTGAGAATACAAGGAGTTCAACTAGAATGCATGAAGTTTAATCTGAGAACACAATGAGTTCAATCAGAAAGCGCGAAGCTTGACCTGAGAATACAAGGAGTTAGATCAAAAAGCACAAAGCTTGATCTGAGAACAGAAGAAGTTCGATCAGAAATCGCGGAGCTTGATCTAAGAACACAAAAGTTTGATCAGAAAGTTCGGAGCTTGATTTGAGAACATAAGAAGTTCGATCAGAAAAAGTGGAGCTTGATCTGAGAATACAAGAAGTTCGATCAGAAAGCGCGATACTTGATCTGAGAACACAAAGAGTTCGATCAGAAAGCACGAAGCTTGATCTGAGAACACAAGGTTGGCGATATGGGTGCTCAAAAGCACAATCTGTACGCTGGGAAGCGCGATTTGGGTGCTCAGAAGCACGATCTGGCCGTTAGAAAGCGCAATCTAAATGACCTTGAATGCATGATCTCAATGATCTTGAACATGTAATCTCAACAGCTTGGGAGCTCATTAGCTTGGGAGTTCGATAGCTTGGGAGCTTGTTAGCTTGGGAGCTACGGAGCTTGGGACCTCGTTCACATTTGAGAGATTTGATGTGTGTGATCTAGGTGATCTAGCCACGTGATCTAAGAGCTTTGATGCATGAGCGGTCTAGCCACGTGATCTGAGAGATCTAATGCATGCAATCTGAGTGATTTGGCCACGCGAAATCTGAGAGCTCTGATGTGTATGATCTGAGAGATCTGATATGTGCAATCTAAGCGATAGAGATGGGTGTCTGCCCCGGCCTCGCGGGGATCCGGCTCGACTCTACCCAAATGGGGCAAGGAATCCTTGAAAAATTCGGGGATAAGGCTGGGGATGGTCCTCAGAAAAATCCCTGCACCCGGGGACGGGCCAGGGGAGGGGATAGTGTAATCCCCGTCCCGCCCCGCTTTTTTGAGAATTTTATGTTTTTTTTGTTCCCTTTGCGAGATTGTATATAAAATAAGAGTTTAAATCATGGTTTTAAGAAATGTATCTAAATTTATGATATTTACTTTTATAATACTTTCTAATGTTTGTATTAAATTTATAGAAAAATAATTTAAACGAGGGAGTCTAATAATTAAATATATGCATTATTACTTTATGAATTTCACAAAATAATAATACATGGCCCAAAAATAAATTTGATTAGATTATTACAATTTACCAAACCAATATATTATGAGGTTTATGTCGCAATGGATGATTTGAGTATATTATTAGGTTTATGTTTCATCCTTAAGGATGTTTATATTTTATTGCTTTGAAATCCATGAGCATGTTTTAATTTTTGCCAAGAAATTGTTGTTATTCACCATATTCATATCAATTCTCAACGAAATTTTCTTTCAAGTATTTATTTTATGAATTTTAGTAGATGAGACTATTTCAGTAGAATATTACAGTGTCTCAGCAACATAAAACATCAGAATGTGGAATCTAAATTCCTCTATTTAATACTATATAGAAAATGTGTCACTAACTTAGTAACAATTAAATTAGTTTATGGTGGTAGTTATGTATTGCTTTTTAAATCTTAATTTAAATTTTACAAGAAATTATTGATTTTATATTTTCTTACCCTAAATTCAACCTTTTTAATGAATTAACTACTGAAATTAAGCAGTCAAATTGTCAAATATAGTACCTACCAAAGTGCTAGTTTCTCACAATTAAAATAATTAAAATAATTTAATATTATTGTCGTGAGAACATACGAAAAGTTTTGATCTACATGGGGCAAAAATCCCCACACAAAAAATCCCCGTTCATCAGGCTAGGCCGGGGATGATCATGAGAAAAATCCCCCCCCACAGGGACGGGCCGGGGATGGTCATGGGAGTGGGTAACCAGGACGGGGATGGGGAATGGGGTCCCCAGCCTCGACCCGGCCCTTGCTCATCCCTACTGAGCAATTTGGCCACACGATCTGAGTGATCTACTCATGCGATCTGAGAGCTCTGATGTGTCCAATATAAGCGATCAAGCCACGCAATCTGAGAGCTTTGATGCGTACAATTTGAGCGACTTGGCCACGCAATCTAAGAGCTCTGATTTGGAATAAGCTTTGGTATTTTGACAATAACTTGAGTTGTAGGCCTCGGATTTGGATGATTCTTAAACCATCAGAAAGCTCGATTGAAGGGCTACAATTTTTGTGTTTACTGCTTTGCCAGATTCAGACTTTATCCTACTCATATTTTCACATCTGATAACATGATTCTAGAAAAAGAAGCTGAAATTTGCTGAAGAAGTTGAGATTTGCTAGAAAGACATGGAATGCTTATGTAAATCATGCCCCTCCTATGGCGCCAAACTGTTGATACGCGATTTTGACACCAACGACCTCGCACGTGCAAAGTGCTAAGAAGGTCTTAGAAATTACACGTGATTAATGATTATGGTCCTAAGATGATATATGTTTGAAGAAACATAAATAAAAGATTGGCAAGAGAGAATTTTATAGTAGTTCAAGTACTTAAAGCGAATCTTATATCCACTGTTATTTTATTATTCTCTGACTATTTTTCTGGTATTGCCTGTAAAGCGTACAAAAATGGAGAAATGTTTTGTTTACAGAGAAAAATAAGCTCTCATCTATCCAGCCTCTTTTTTTATGAAGAGAGGTGCACATTTATACCTTTGATGTCAATGTAATTAGTGCTTTTGTTAGTTGTCTTGACACGTGGGGAACACTCCTTAATCTTTATCTTAAAATGGGATAGAATTGATATAATATCTCTTAGGTCGGTTTGGTCTTGACAACTACTGTTATTTTGTCCTTTAAGTGTTTGTTGAGCTCTGATTGATGGTGTTGACATCAGCTTATGTCAGCCCTGATTTTTTAGGCATAACAATAGTGAATTTTGTTTCTCTCAAACTTTTTAAAGATAATTATAGGTTGTGGAAAACACAAATTGAAGCACTGGCTGAAAGTTAGGAGATAAAAGGGTTCTTAGATAGAACCTATCCTAAACCTAATGAGTTTATCAACAACTCAATTGCAATATCTGAAGGAGCTACAAGTTGCAACTAAAAAGGAGTATGTGATGAACCCAAATTACATCCATTGGAGGAAATCAAATCAACTTCTTCCTAGATAGATTGTTGCCACTCTTTCAAACGAGGTTCCACGACTTGCTATTGGACTTAAAAAATCAATACAAGTATAGAGAACTCTTGCATATCACTGTGCCCAAAACACTAAAGACTAAGAGTTCTATTTAATACAAAAAAATGCATTTGCATAACAAAAAGAATGTTAAAAGCACCAATGAGTATAAATTTGTAATTGTTGATACAAAAACTCGCAACAACCAAAGATACCCAGTCGACTATGGCTGGACTGAGTAAGATTTGTGTGTGATTATAAATAACTAGCTAAGAATGGATTGGAGAATCCGCAAAATAAGAACATGAGAGACTTTTAAAGTGGTTTGGCGGGTTGAGACCAAACCTACATTATAATATTGCTTAGTATTTATATTACATACAAGGTGATTACAGGATGATAACAAGTAATAACTGAGCTAAGACTTTCTCTATGTGAGTTTCATATGCTTGTGCGAATAATCAATCCACCAAAACGAAGGAGGTGACCCCCTTTTATACACACAGTCTGACAATGGTTGAGGGTTGGTATTACAGGATGGATTACACGCATAACCCCCCTAATCTGAATCTGAGTCAGCCCCCTCTCATGCTTAAGTTTGAACACTCATGCTTAATACTGATGAGATTGTTAGAGAAGTCATCCGCTATAAGAGCAACACGTGAGACAATTCTGACAGCTAAATTTCGGTATGGTGTATAGACAGGTGGCACAAATCTAGTCATCGAAAAATCATACACAACATTAACCCCCCATTTTTGGAGGTTAAAGTCAGGCTTCAAAAACTTTCCTCTGGCAATTTGCATGATAGATGGAGCACGAGCTATGACAACTGGTCGTTAGGGCGAGCTTGGGCTGTCTTGTTAAACCTGAAGTCTCCCCACCTTTTAGCCTACGTCGCTTAGTCACATCCAAGGTCTCTTCATTTGACCCTTTGACAGTGCAATGAATGAAGATGTGCTCGTGCGCCTTTCCTAGGCGTACGAAAGCATTAGAAATGATTGCAGTTAGGGAGGCAAAAGGGCGTATGTACCTCTTTGTCGAGCACAATGAAATGACGGCAATGATGAAGGTTTCGGGAATGGTTAATAGTTGGCATCCCCTCCTATCTATAAATACAACCACCTTGGCTTGGGTTGTCTTCTACCATTGCTTTCGTTCTTTTGCATTTAGAAAGAGGTTTTTATAGTTCCTTCTGATTCATTATTCAGTTGAGGCTTCAGAATTTCCTACGGCAAGGTTTGTCTTTCTCCTTTCCTTGACTATGTTTTCCATTTCGTTGGCATAATGCCTGACATGTTTTTAACTGAAACCTTTCTCCCTTCTTTGCAGATGTCGCCATTCGACACCTTTCTTTATTAGGGAGGAGACGAAAACTATAGAAACAACAACCCCCACCAGTTGTCATTGGCACCTCCATCGAGTGAGGTCCGAGTCATGCTCCCTCGCTGTACTTCAAGCTGTGATAACAAGGTTACTTCTCAGTTGGCCCGCCCTAACCAGGCAGAACCTTCATTTGTTGTTCCTCTCGGCAAGTTGTGCCCCAACTAACTGAAGGTTGGTACTTGGAGGGGTGTTGACAATCGAGGTAAGGCCCTGATAATTGATTCTTCTAAAAGTAGGAGGATGAGGAGGAGGAGGAGGAGGAGAAACGTTCGAGCTTCTATTGAGAGGGCCATGCCCGAGGCCGAGACCTCAAGTCATGCGAAGGTTGAGGCAAGGACTCCTATACAGGCAATAGGGGAGTTTGCAGACTATCTCCACATTCTGCTGAGTGCTCTCCTTGAGTGTGCCCCTGGGGCAGCTTGGGAAGAATACAAGAGGCTTGATCGGGCTGCCCTGTTGAGAAAGGCAGTCATGGACTAGACTCAGGTTTGTTTTTCCTCTTGAGTTTGTCATGCCCTTTTATATGAGTATTCGTGGTGCTAACGATCACTTTTCTTTTTCTCTTGCAACTTTTTTCCCTGATGACCTTCCCCTTTCATGAGGCATACCCTGACTTTCTGGGTCAGGGCACAATCCGAAGAGAAACTAGTGAGGTTGAGGGAGACTACGATAAGTAGCACTTATTATAGATTTATTAAAAAAAAAATTCCTTTAAGTGGGGGCAACTAATAAAACGAGTAGGGTTCAAAAATCACTTCCCTGAGTTTAATTAAAGGGAAGTGATATTTAGTCCCCATTATTTTCTCTTTAGCCCCCATATTCAATTTTAAGTGAGGTTATAATAGTAATTAAAAAATCCATTCTTCTTCCTCACTGGGAATTTGTGATACAGAGTGTTTTATTTTAATGGGTGTGAAACTATTTTATCTCCTGTCAAAGTGGAATTTAGAATTGATTACTTGATTGTAAGAGGTTTGAGGTTGTGATGTCGTAAACAAATTAATTCATATTTGAATATAATGAATTTATGATACCACTGTCTTGTTTTAATGCGTATGAAGCCTATTTTTTCTTCTATCAGGGAGGGATTTACAAGTAATTACTTGATTTTAAGATTTTGAAGTTATGGTTTCGTAAACAAATTATTCTATATTTTTGTAATAATAATATTGATTGATTCGTCTCACACTTTATTGTTAATTTTGATTGATTTAAATTTATTTTTAATTTTTTAGAATCGTGAATATAAAACTTTGAAGTAAAAGTATGGATAAAGAAGAATATATTTTTTTTTTAATTACAATTATCCACACTTAAGGATAGAGGCTAAAAGGGGAAATAGAAGGGGCTAAAATACTTCTCTTAATTAAATATGTCTATAAGGTCTTAGAATAATTATTTATAGGCCCAAACGTTTGGGCTTGGAGTCCAAATAATGAATTAATTGATTTAATGAATATATAATAATCTTTGATAACAAAAAATTCGCCGGGTCTCTAACCTAAGCCTATGTAAGGATTACCTTTGACTTCCTCATCAAATTAGGGTGTGTTTCTCATATCACGAAAGCCCTAGAAAAGAATAATTAATTTAAGCTTTTAACTTGGTAACATTTCTATTTAATTTAAGTTTAATTTTCTTTTCTTTTAGGGGCATTTGGATCATATAATATTTTATTATATGGGGATATTATATTAGCGGAAAAAAAGATTAGCTTGAAAATTATTGAGAATGTTTAGAAAATGTGTTTGGTTAGTTCGAATATATTGATAAATAATATGTTTGCTTGGGAGGATAAATGCGTGGGTATGTTATATAGTTTACTAAATTGTCTTCTTTTTTAAATATTAATATAATAGTATTTTATTATTATTATTTTTTGAATAATTTCTTTCAATTCCCCACTTTTCAGATTTATCAGAAACACCCTAGCAACCAAAAACGTTTTAAACTTAACAAAAATACCCTTACCCACCCCAAGCCACTGCCGACAGTTAGCCACCACCGCTAGTGACCGCCAACAATGCCACAGATCTAGTCGTAACGCCAACAGTGTCATAGATCTGGCCATTTCTGGCCATGGATCTATGATCCATGGTTGGAAAAGGCCTCACTGGCGCATGGTCGACCATATACGACCGATCGTATGCCATTATGGTGACTTTCAACAGCCTCCGACAGTGGTCAACGACGGTTGGTGGCGGTAGCCAGTTCTGGGCAATGTCGTTCGGAAAATTTTAAAAGTGAGGACAAAAGGGTCTACATAAGTGAATTGGGTGTTTTGTAAAACTTAACAAATATAAGACTAATTTGGACCAAATGCTCTACTGTTTAGGGCAACATGGGACACAAAATTGTATTACCTAGGGTAAGTTTTAATAACTTCCCGGGCGCCCCCCCAAAATGCCACTGTTTGTCATAAAAGATTCAAAGAATAATTTTTTACAAATCAACCAAACATTGTAATCTGCTCAATTTAAAAAATATTACCCAAGTTATCTAATATTATCCCCATCCAAACGAGCCCTTAAAGTGTTCCTAGTTATTGCTTCCACCCTATATAGAAATTATCCTCTTCTCATTATTATGTGGTTTTACTAAGGGGCCGTTTGGATTGGTTTGATATTATATAACGCGGGTAATATATTTTAAATTGGGTAGATAACCATGTTTGGTTGTTTTGTAAAAAAAAATTCCGGAAAAAAAAAAAAAAGTCAAACAGTGCCAAATTGGGGGTAAATCACCGGGAATAATATTACCTGGGGGGAGGGTGGTATTAAAACATTACTTCGGTAATCCAAATTTCTGTCCAATTTTGCCCCAAAACAGTGGACAATGTGGATGAAAATATCCTTGGCTTTGTTAATAATCACAAAACACCTAATTTGCACAAGAAGATGGATTTGTCCTCAGTTTTTTAATTTTTCAGACAAAATTGCCCTACTTATTATTAGGACTGTAAACGAGCCGAGTCGGCTCGCGAGCCGGCTCGGCTCGGCTCGATAAAAGCTCGTTTAGAGCTCGGCTCGATAAGGCTCGGTTCGACTCGAACTCGAACTCGGTTCGTTAACCGAGTCGAGTTCGAACACAGTGAAGCTCGGCTCGTGGGCTCGCGAGCTTGGCTCGGCTTGTGGGCTCGCGAGCCTGGCTCGGCTCGGCTCGATTAAGCACTGTACACTTAATAGGGTATTTTGGTGATTTTTTAAACTATTAGGTGTTAAACTGATATTTTTCAGTGAAAAAAGTTTTAAAAAATGACAGTTTCCCCCCCTAAAGTGCAAATTTGAAATAACATGATACACCAAAACAGAGTGTCAATTACTCAATTTCAGTTCCCCATCCCAGTTGCCCTAAATCCCAAATCGCAATCAAAGACCCCTAAATCCCAAATCACGAACTAGACACTCTGAAATCGATAATCTCCTAGGAATGTTATTTGTATATATTCAGAACTGTTTTTTGATTTTGTAAGGTAATAGACATTTTGTAATGTTCAAAACTATCATGATTAATTCAACATTGGATGTAAATATGAAATGCTGTACGCAAGCAGATTGCTATAAAAAAGGGGAACTTAGCTCGATCAAACCCGGATAAATGGTGGTTTGATCGAGCCTTGCGAGCCTAAAAATTGAGACTCGAGCTCGAGCTCGACAAGGCTCGCGAGCTCGATATCGAGCCGGCTCGTGAGCCGGCTCGAGCTCGACTCGAGCTCGACCGAGCTCGAGCTCGAGTCTCAATTTTGAGGCTCGCCAGGCTCGAGCTCGAGCTCGAGCTCGACACTGTTGTAAACGAGCCGAGCTCGATAAGCCAAAAGCTCGACTCGCTCGGCTCGTTTACACCCCTACTTATTATCAATATTTTCATAAATGCCACGAAATATTGTTGTGCCCATATTATCCTTATATATTTGTATATTGTGACCAAAACACCCCCACCCACCACAGTGCCAGATTCCGACCACCATCGCCGAAATCTGGTCGGAATCCACCGTTACGACTCAGACTGGTCAAATCTGGCCGGTGGTCTGTCGATCTGGCCTTTTCGACAAGATCCACCACGGATTTGGTAGGAAAAGGCCAAATCTACGGTCAGATCTGGTCGTCGACAGCCGCAAAATGCCAGATCTGGCCGTCGTTGACCGTCAACAATGGCCATTTCTTTGGTCGTCACTGACGGCCATATCTGGTCGAAAAGGCCAAATCAGTGAATAAATGTCCATTTTCGGTCGTTTTTAAGCCGTTGTGACAGATTCCGGCCACCACTGACGGTGGTTGCCAGAATCTGGCAACTATGGGTGGGTGGGGTTATTTTTGTTAATTTTTAAACCTTTTTTCTAGGGATGTTATAAACTTAAGGGGTCTAAAAGTAATTAAAAAATGAATAGTGTTTCCCAAATAATTAAACAAACAAGTATTTTGGGAATAGGATAGGGAATAGGGTTTGAAATAATAAAACAAACAAGCCCTTAATTATTTATATTTTGTAATCATCTAAAGGACATTTAGTAAAATGTAATCAAGACATCTGCTCTTCCATCCAACCAAACAAATTAATTAGTAATACAAGTAATCATCCCAAGGGCATTCTAGTAAAAGGGTATTTCAAGACATCTGTTATTACTATCAACCAAACACATTAATTATTAATACATCTCAATTGAACCAAGCACAATAATAATTTAAACCCGGTAATCTACAATGTAATCTTTCTTTCCGATAATCTTATTACTAAGATAAAAAAATATTATATAATTCAAACGCCCCCTAAAAGTATTAATTAACTACATGTACATAATTAACTTGATTTTTAACCATGGGCTTTTGTTTGCACATAGTTGATTTTAGTTTCCTCCAATTGCGTGTAGTAAACATATTCACTTCACCTCTTACCTTATTGTACATTTTTCTAATACAAAATTACACTAACAAAGTATTTGCCGGCATTCCAGTTATTCTTTATGGCTCCAAACCTTTTCACAGTGACTAGAAACTTGACTTGTGCAGTGACCCAACTAGGCCACTGGGTCATGGGTCGAGCAGTTTAACCGGTTTGACCAATGTTTAAAAGTTTGAAATCTAACAAAAATATCCCTAAAAATTACTGTAAGTCCCTATAGGTATGAAAGCTTGCAAAAAACACCTCAAACACCATTGTCGGCATCGGCAAATATGGCCTATTTTTTGCTACAACAACACTCCCCATCACCACGAAAACACTCCCCTCAGCCTCCTGACCAAAACCGATCTCAACCTTCCTCTGTTTGCCTCCCCAATCACAAGCAAAAGCGAGCTTGTTTTGGCGACATTGTTTTGCGATTTTCGGTCGATTCACTCACCAGAAATTGACGTCATTGCCACTATTCCACTCACCGGTCATTGCTCTTCAAAAGTCCTAACATTCTATCCTTCAATTGTTCACGGATTGATGTCCTAATCTCTAGGATTTTGAATGAATAGGAAAATTTGTAACCTGACCCGATGAAGGCTCCGAGTTAAGGTTCAACCGGCCAGGCAGGCCGAGTTCCTAATCACTGCCTTTTTATACAAGCAGTAGCCAGGAAGTATTGTTGTTTTCAAGCTTTCCCATGTGGGTTAATTTCCGTATCGATTAGATGAACTTTATTAATTTAAAAGAGAAATACTAGCCTTACAAAGAGAAATATAAAGAGGAGTATATAAAGACAAATCATGCCCTTAAAAGAAAGGAAAAAGAGAGAGAGAGAGAGAGAGAGACAATCGTGAAGATTAAGGGCAGGATTTGTCTTTGTATACCCTTTTTTATATTTCTCTTTGTAAGGCTAGTATTTCTCAATTTGAAAAGAGGTGCCTGATCTTTCAGCGGTGATGGTATATGTTGACTAGGCGGATGGCGTGCATGATATCGCTCTCTTAAATTATAGTTATATATTCGCAATTAAATCAATTTAATTCAAACGAATCTCATCCAAAAAATTTCATAGGTACTTACTATAAAGTCAGTAAAAATTATAAATTTCATACAGTACTTACTACAATGTCAGTAAAATTAAAATTTTAATCCAGTACTGACGATAAAGTCGGTAAGAATTAAAAATAAGCCAAACACGTCTACATAATACATTTGTATATCTGTTACACACTCTGTATGGTCCTGCGCTAATTAAGCGTGCCAAAAGCACTCCTTATGGTGTTGCCCTAATGCCCTATTTATATAGTATCTTTTCTACCCTGTAAAAAAATACACGAATCACACACATTTTTATATGATCTAAAAATGTCTTTTCTCCGTCTTTTTTTTACACTGTTCCTCTCTGTTTTGTGCCTCTCCGGGATCTATCTTACAGAAGCACTAAAAGGATCAGGTTTTAGTTTTGAACTAATTCATCGTGACTCTCCAAAGTCTCCTTTCTATAACCTTAAAGAAACTCCCTTCGAACGATTGAGAAATGCGACACGTCGTTCTTTTAAACATGCCAATCGTTTTGATCGGAAATCCCTATCTAATCTAAGTGCAGCAGGTGATCAAGCTGATATCATCTCTGACGGCGGCGAGTACCTTATGAATATATCAATCGGTACCCCGCCTTTTCCGATTCTAGCCATCGCTGATACCGGTAGTGATCTTATATGGACTCAGTGCAAGCCTTGCATTTTCTGTTACATGCAACAAGCTCCTCTTTTTGACCCTCAAAATTCCTACACTTATAAAGATGTTTCGTGTTACTCCGGGCAATGTGCATCTCTAGAATCATCCGTTTGTTTGGCCTGGTTCGGACATGATTCGTGTCTATATTCAGTATCATATGGGGATGGATCGTTCTCAAATGGAAAACTCGGTACTGATACTATAACTGTCAGTTCAACCAACGGAAGCGCTGTGCCTCTCCCCAATATCGTCTTCGGTTGTGGACACAACGATCTTGGAACCTTTGATGCAAAAGCAACTGGCATAGTTGGCTTAGGAGGCGGTGATAATTCTCTCATCTCCCAAATGGGCGATTCAATAGACGGCAAATTCTCTTACTGCTTGGTGCCAATAGTATCATCTAAAAATGACCCCATTTCTAGCAAAATTAATTTTGGTAGCAATGCAGTAGTTTCAGGTTCTGGAGTGGTTTCCACTCCTCTGGTTGCTAAAGATCCGGAAACTTATTACCTTCTTACTCTCAAAGCAATCAGTGTTGGAAACAAAAGTATCCCTTTTCTTGGTTCTTCATTTGGAACCACAGAGGGAAACATTGTGATTGATTCAGGAACTACGTTGGCACTTATGCCACAAGAGTTTAACTCTAGATTAGTTTTAGAAGTATCGAAATCCATCGATGCTGCACCCGTTCAAGACCCCGAGGGAACGTTTGATCTTTGCTACATAGCTGATTCCAATTTTGAGCCTCCAGTAATCACTGTGCATTTTAGTGGTGCAGATGTGAAGTTAAGTTCCTTGAACACTTTCGTGCCGGTTAGTGAAAAAGTTGTGTGTTTTACTTTCAAAGGTGTTGAAGGCTCTGCAATTTATGGAAATTTGGTGCAGGCAAACTTCTTGATTGGGTATGACACTCAGAAACAGATTGTTTCATTTAAGCCAATTGATTGCGCCAACGAGTAATTTGTGATTGATTTCTGGGTTTGTATGCAATTGTGTTATTCAATTTGGAGTGATTAGAGTTTCAAAAGAAAAAACAAGTGATTAGATTAGCTTAATAAGTCTTATGTATTTTATATTTAATAATACAATAAACCCTTGGAGATTTGTCCGAGGGTTTTGGTAAGAATTATATTCTATATCAGATTTAATGTTATTTTATTATTTAATATAGATCGATTAAAATAATATATATATATATATGGATTGTTCTTTTCTCCAAACTATTTCCACAAATTAATAAAGAAGAATTGTTGATTTAGAATTTTTCAAAGGATCTTTACAAAATTTGTTTGCTTTTAAGATATAATTCTAGAGAGATCATATCAAACTTTAAGGAGATCTAATACTTTATCAATTATCATGTATGAGCCAATTAATATGTTGGAATTCTAGAAGTTAAATTCAATTAATAAGTATATCCATATTTCAGGTTATAGTCCAAACAATCTAAATTTTATCGCTAAAAATATGTATTTAACATTGGTTTTGCTGACACCCATATGGAATTTTAATAATGCATGGTTTTTGAGTTTGATATGTTTTACTGTGGGTAACATAAAAAAAAGAAAACATGAATGATGTATTAATTTAATAGCATATAATAAAATGAGGTGCTACACTTCATTTGCATATCTTTTTACTAATTAGCGTGTTCAACATTTACCTTAGCAACTGTATCAGGTTTGGTGGCTGTTGGAGACCAAACATAAACGTGTCATCTCGTTCTTTATTTTTCTTACAAGCAATTGTTTTTGCTATTTTTCACTATGGACTCATATTAATCACTACCATATTCTAGAATATTTCAAAAATTTCAGAAGATATATCGTGACACTGTCTAATTAGTGTTGTTGTCAAACGGATAAAAAAAATGTTTGGAAAAAACAAATCTTAAAACTGAGTTTTTAATATAATCTATTTTTGTATTGGTTTTAGCAATGTTTTGAAAACCGACCCAGGGACTGACCCAGTCAGGCGACTGGGTCACGGGTCAAACAATTTAACCAGTCTGACCGAGAGGTCAAACTGATGACATCAACATGCCAAAAAAAAAAGTCCAAAATACTTATAAACTATGTACTAGGTTGGGAAAGTTGGGTGAGACAAATTATTGGATGGGTGGTGGGCAAGTTCAGGGGAGACGGAGAAGTGAAGGTGGAGGATTTCCAGAGGCCTAGCAACACAAAACAAGCACAACAACACAATACTAACATAACAACATAGCCAGAGGTGAAGGAAGGTGAGATTTTTGTGGTGGACTGGGTTGTTGAGGGCGACTGTCATGTGGCATCAAGTGCGGCTCGAGGATGACAAACTATGACTAGGGACGACCGGTGGAGGGGTGGGTTTAGAAGAGGAGAGGATTGGGGTTCGTGTGGTTGTGGGTGGGTGGATTACTATGGAAGCCTTTGGAAGAAGAAGATTGCACAGACGGTCCCAAAATGGTCGAATTTAGGATTTAGGAATAAAAACGCTTAACCAGGTTTGTAAATTCAATGACCTAGTTTGGGCCTCGATCGGTCGAATCGACGGTTCGCTGTTGTTATGTCGGTCCGACTGTGAGTCACTCCAGGTTAACTGCTCAGGCTATGTTTAACCTTGGTCTGGACCGGTGGAGTCTCTAGTTCCCTGTCTGGCCGATTGAACCAGTCGGGTTTCAAAACACTAGTTTTTAGTTGAATAAAATTTTTGATTCAATGGGAATTTTTAAAGCCCTGAAGTTTGGCAAAGATTTTAAACCCTCTATACTATTGGTAATTACTCTTCAACCCACTATTGTCAATGTCTTTTGGTTACTTTTAATGATATAAATGGTAAATGACCTTAATGCCCTCCCCTGCTATGCTTATCAATCACAAACCACACCCTTGCTTTCATTTCATCTCTATCAACTCCCAACACCCATGTTATGCTTAAAAATTGTTAAATTATGTAAAATATTATATATAAGAAAATAGAAAAGAAACTAGTAAATAATAAAATTTTAAAATCTATAAAAATAAAAAATAAATTTTAGGGGGTGTAAATGCATTAACCCTAAATAATTGTAAAAATTTAGGTGTATTGTACTATTTTACCCTTGACTCTGTTAAAAGTAGCCGAACAAACTTTGGAGGGCGTAAATGCATTAATCCTTAATAATTATAAAAAGGTGTATTGCTCTTTTAACCTCGATTCTGTTAAAAGTAGTCAAATAAACTTTAGAGGGTTGATGGTAGGGGATTAAGAATAAGTACCAGTACCACATGGCGTTTATCAGAATTAGGGAAAATCTAGATGGGTTTAAAGTGCTAATCCCTTAAATAAGTTTTTCAATAAATTAATGAATTAAGTACCACCGTATATTTATATTAGTTTAGCTACTAACTAAACTTACAGAACTAAGTAATTAGAAACTTAACCAACTAGCAAGCTTGGTCGATTTCTGTTCAGCGCTAGCTGAGTCAGCATATAAAGTAAAATCAGCAGAGAAGACTATAACTAAAACAAAGCTTGTTGGATGTGACTTAACAGACTAGCCAAAACACTTTAGATAAATTCATTTTTCATCAAAAACCTCTCTCAACTGAAATTGCTTTGAAGGAGTGCTAAACTTGATTCTTAATGAAGTGAATCTTGTTGTTGATAAAGTCTCTATTAGTAAATTTGCAATCTGAAACTGACTAGACACATACCTTCTAATTCTTTAGTTTCGACTTTCTAATTCTTTAGTTTCGACTCTGTCTTTGCCATAATGCACATGTACTTCTGTATGTTTTGTTCTAGAATGGTATACTGGATTATTGTTGGTGAACTGCTCCTCTCCTCTCACATTGGAAATCTGGACAAGTAGGCAATGATATATGTAACTCCTTATATTAGCCTTGTAGCCAAGCCAATTCTATGGCAACTAGGATAATAATCTCTAATATGATTTTGTTGAAGATTTTACAACAACTTTATGTTTCTTAGAACGCCATTGGATTAAGTTTTGTCCAAGATAAATGCAATATACTAAAGAAAAAGAAGATTTTCGGAAGTATGCAAGTCCTTATGGTTTTACGATACATGAATTTGAGGGTAATAGGTTAGATGAAGAATGTAAAGAGGTCTCTCCATCACAAATGACCATGAATGATGGTGGTAGTAGTGGCAGTAAAAAACAATGTACAAGCACTACGAGAAGCAGACCTATGCGGCTTAGTGAATTTTTTTGCTACATGGACTACTCATGGGTCTCAGTCACCAATTAGGGGTGTTTTGGCTAGAAAAGAAGCAACGTGGAGAGCATACATGGTTGTTGCATGGTTCTTTTTATGATGTTTGCATCCTGATGAATGTTTTAAATTCAATTTGTTTTTAGCCTATGGTGGATGTCATAGCTACAATTGGTGTTGGGTAAAAGCAACCTACTTATAATGCTATGCGTGTCAATTTAATGAGAGATGCTAAGAAGGAAGTGTAATTACTTGTTGACAGTTAGATGAATATTTGGGAAGTGGTTGGATGTACATTAATGGTGATGGTTGGATTGATACTGCCATAGGCCACTGATTAATTTTCTTGTGTACTGTCCTAAAGGAGTTTGCTTTCTAAAATTAGTTGATGCTTCAGATATGGTAAAGGATGTCTTTAACTTTATCAAATTGTTTGAGGAAATGACTTTATAGGTTGGACCAACTAATATTGTCCATGTTGTCACAGACAATTGAGCAAATTTTAAAGCTACTGGAAGAATGTTGTCTGAGAAGTATGAGAATATTACTTGGTCGCCTTGTGCAGCACATTGCATAAATTTAATGTTGAAAGATATAGCTGAGCTAGACCACATAGTGTATCATGCAAAACATGCATTTGAACTAACCATGTTTGTGTATAATCACAAAATCTTGATAGCTTGGTTGCGGAAAAATAGCTTATAAACCTTTAACTCGTGTTCTTGTCAATTCATAACATAATAAACATTTTACAATAATTTACTAACTTTTACTATGTTTCCATCACTTGAACAGTGTTGGAAAGAAATTGTACGACCAAGTGCAACCCGTTTGGCTACTACTTTCATTGCATTAAGAAGTCTCTATGAGTACAAATATGACTTGCAAAGACTCGCTAACTATGGTGACGGATAGATTTTTTGTGGATTCCTGATATGCCAAAAGTAGTAAAGACAAGAATGTTATGCCCATAATTCTAGATAATGGATTCTGGGATGACAAGGGTAAAGTTTCCAAAGTTGTGGCTCCATTGATGCATTTGTTTTGGATTGTAAACTCATATGAGAGCCATGTAATAGCATATGTGTATGACGGCATGTACAGAGCTAAAAAGGTGATCAAGAAGTTGTTTACAATAAGAAGAGATTGTACAAGCCTTATACCACAATTTTGAGAAATATACATAGATTAGCTTATTATTTTATAATTTTGATATAATCGAAAACCCTTATTCTTCTAGGATTAATATCATATTCATTTTATCATGTTAAAATTCATTTAAACCATTTTCCTTGTGAACCTAGACTTTACTAAAAGTCATATTCATCCTCCTATTATAATTTATCAAAATAGCTTTTTTGTTTGATTATTATAAGTCTTACGATTGCATTAATTCATTAACATGCATTATCGTAGTTTATTAATTTCTTCATAAGTTTTATCTTCATCAACTCCTATGTATGAAAGGGCTTGTTCATAAGAACGAAGACACAACTCAAGAACAACGGCAAACAAGAAACACTCAAACCTTATGCCATAGTCATTGACGCGACATCACTCAGTTTTGTGTTAATTTCTTCTCCATCTTCAAGGCGTCCTTTGATAGCTCCTAGTACCTCAATTTCGTGTCAAATCCTCCAACAACCACACACCAAAAAGCGCTCACCAGAGCGCCACAAACAGCTCCATTAATTCCGTAAATCAAAGCCCGTTTAGAAAGAGAAACCAGAGTTGTTTGAGTACCACTGTCATATATTCACGTCCTACATCACAAAAACACGTTCTAAAGCCTTCATACAAACCATATGGTCATATAGCCCTTGGACAATTACTTTCGGTTAGGTTCTAGCCCCATTTCATTTCAGATTGCGAGTTTCTATTACTTTTTCTCTCTAGAACA